TAACATATTTTTAAATGACTTTAGTTAGTTTTACATAAATTTTATGTTCAATAACATCAATTTTGGTAAGACATTTAGAAATCTAATTAAATAACAGAGATTTTTAAAACAATCAAATCTTCTGAAATTCCTAATCTTCTTATACATCCCTATTAATTAATAAATTTTCTATTGTATTTTATTTTTTCAGAGGTTAATATTATAAAACTACAAAGTCCATTGTGATATAACTTTTTGTATTTACAGGCTTAATTAATTATTAATAGACTTTGGACTTTATTATTGTGAATGACGGCACCGTTTTAATTGTAGGTGAGCAAACCCTAAACGCATTGTTTTTAGGGATGTGATTGGTACTTTTTATGTGTATAAGAGATCATTTCTCTATATTTATCTAAGAGTTTTAAAAAGTTATTATTGTATTATTTTATCAAATTTTGTTAATTTTTATTTTGATTCAATTTGAAATTAGCAAAATTTATTAAGTTATAATAATATCAAATATTAATTTATAAAAATTTACTGTATTTTATTTTTTCAGCGGTCAATATTATAAAATTACAAAGTCCATTTTACACAATGTTTTGCATTGACAGGCTTAATTAATTATTAATAGGCTCTGGGCTTTTTATTATAGTGTGACCAAACCCGCAAACCCTAAAACGCACCGTTTTTAGGGTTTTGATTGCTAGCTACTTAAAGTGCCGCGTTTTGATTAATTGTGTTACTTTTCTTCTTCCTTCGCACCATCTCTCTCTATTCGCCATTGCTTTCTTTTCGCGTGAGCACGAACCAAAATCAAACTCTGTTCCATTGAAAAACCGAAGCTTTAGCTTTCACCTGCGTTTGATCTGATCAATTCTGGTATTATCTGTTTTGTCTTCGAAATCGAATTTAGGGTTTTCGTTGTGTAGTTCCGGTTTGCCGTTTTTTTGTTTGATATAGGTTTCTCTGCAATGCATAAACGGAGAATTGAATATGACAGATTCATTCCCTACAGATTCATACGCCAAGAATCAGACAACAAGTTTTGCTGATTCTCTGGAAAAAAAAAGAGGAATCGTTCAACAATTTGTTAGTCAAACAAACTACAAAAGAGAAGCTATCAATGAAATTGTAAAAAAATGCTAACCAGAGTCAACGGCCTTGATCTCCCTCATGGTTGCATCAGCTGACATTAGTGGTTTGATAAAGAACTGCGCAAACCCTATTAGAGGCAATAATCTAAGTGTCCAAAAAAAAAGTCGATATAAGACAAAATTAAAAACAAAATGCAAAGTGTAAAACCTGTCCAAAGCCTCGTCGAAAGAGTCTGTGTTGATATCGAAATGGTAGTTTGTGTCTTCAGTGGATGTATAAGCATTTCATTGAAAGGGTCACAAGCTTAATGTTTCATTGGAAATGTCCAAAGCCTCGTCGAAAGAGTTTGTGTTAATATCGAAAGATGAAAGCATTGGAAATGTTACGATCCCAAATCTAAAGTGATAGATAAATTGTTGTGTATAAACAAATCTAAAGAACTTAACTTCTTTCACTGTCCCATATTTGCAGCGTATAGATTCAAGTGTTTCAACTTTCAATCTCCATATCCTGTTCTTGCTTATACTCTACAAAAAGAAGCCCACCAAAAATTCTCAAAACATGTTATCAGACAGGAATCGAGATCAATAGAAATCCAATTGCTCTCTCATGGATTCACATATACATAGATCTCCAATGATAAAGCTTGAGGGGTAAAGATTCAATGTTAAAACAAAGAAATTATGAAACTTTTCCAAAGAGGTTTCATTGAACTAACCTGATTCAGTGTCTGGTTATCGCAACAAAAGTCTTCCATCATTTCAGTAGTGGAGAATCATCAAAATCAAGATGAAATCACATCTGAATCGCATGAATTTCGATGAAGTTTGGAGAAAATGAGAAAACTCGTGAATTTTGCGGTTTAGACCGCAGATCCGCGAACCTGTGATGGGTCACACCGCAAAACCCGAAATCCACACGGGTCAGATCCGCGCGACCCACTGTTTTTTGGGTTACCTTTTTCTAGTCCAAACCCGCCCTGCAGTGGGCTTAGTTGGGTCGAACCCGCGGGCCACAGCCCATATTGACATCTCTACTCGAAGCTGTCGTTGTCGTCGATGAATTCTCATTGTAGTCGGCGGTGAAGTTCGAAGCTCGTGTATTGTCGCCGGAGATGAATTTTAAAACTCTCTTCCTCATCAACTGTGAAGAATATCAAAACTTTCCGCCTCTTGCGAATTCAAAAAACTCGAGTATTATAAAAAAAAACCAGAACTCTTTCGTACTTAAGAAGAACAATTTCGTCACTCTCAAACGAGAAATGTTATGTGGAAGAATTTTTTGGTGTATAATGTATACGTGAAACATAAAGTTAGAATATGTGTATAAGAGATCATTTTTCTGTATTTATCTAAGAGTTTTAAAAAATTATTATTGTATTATTTTATAAAAATTTACTGTATTTTATTTTATTATATATTAATTTATAAAAATTTACTGTATTTTATTTTTTCAGCAGTCAATATTATAAAATTACAAAGTCTATTGTACACAATGTTTTACATTGACGGGCTTAATTAATTATTAATGGGCTCTGGGCTTTTTATTATAGTGTGACCAAACCCGCAAACCCTAAAACGCACCGTTTTTAGGGTTTTGATTGCTAGCTACTTAAAGTGCCGCGTTTTGATTAATTGTGTTACTTTTCTTCTTCCTTCGCACCATCTCTCTCTATTCGCCATTGCTTTCTTTTCGCGTGAGCACGAACCAAAATCAAACTCTGTTCCATTGAAAAACCGAAGCTTTAGCTTTCACCTGCGTTTGATCTGATCAATTCTGGTATTATCTGTTTTGTCTTCGAAATCGAATTTAGGGTTTTCGTTGTGTAGTTCCGGTTTGCCGTTTTTTTGTTTGATATAGGTTTCTCTGCAATGCATAAACGGAGAATTGAATATGACAGATTCATTCCCTACAGATTCATACGCCAAGAATCAGACAACAAGTTTTGCTGATTCTCTGGAAAAAAAAAAGAGGAATCGTTCAACAATTTGTTAGTCAAACAAACTACAAAAGAGAAGCTATCAATGAAATTGTAAAAAAAATGCTAACCAGAGTCAACGGCCTTGATCTCCCTCATGGTTGCATCAGCTGACATTAGTGGTTTGATAAAGAACTGCGCAAACCCTATTAGAGGCAATAATCTAAGTGTCCAAAAAAAAAGTCGATATAAGACAAAATTAAAAACAAAATGCAAAGTGTAAAACCTGTCCAAAGCCTCGTCGAAAGAGTCTGTGTTGATATCGAAATGGTAGTTTGTGTCTTCAGTGGATGTATAAGCATTTCATTGAAAGGGTCACAAGCTTAATGTTTCATTGGAAATGTCCAAAGCCTCGTCGAAAGAGTTTGTGTTAATATCGAAAGATGAAAGCATTGGAAATGTTACGATCCCAAATCTAAAGTGATAGATAAATTGTTGTGTATAAACAAATCTAAAGAACTTAACTTCTTTCACTGTCCCATATTTGCAGCGTATAGATTCAAGTGTTTCAACTTTCAATCTCCATATCCTGTTCTTGCTTATACTCTACAAAAAGAAGCCCACCAAAAATTCTCAAAACATGTTATCAGACAGGAATCGAGATCAATAGAAATCCAATTGCTCTCTCATGGATTCACATATACATAGCTCTCCAATGATAAAGCTTGAGGGGTAAAGATTCAATGTTAAAACAAAGAAATTATGAAACTTTTCCAAAGAGGTTTCATTGAACTAACCTGATTCAGTGTCTGGTTATCGCAACAAAAGTCTTCCATCATTTCAGTAGTGGAGAATCATCAAAATCAAGATGAAATCACATCTGAATCGCATGAATTTCGATGAAGTTTGGAGAAAATGAGAAAACTCGTGAATTTTGCGGTTTAGACCGCAGATCCGCGAACCTGTGATGGGTCACACCGCAAAACCCGAAATCCACACGGGTCAGATCCGCGCGACCCACTGTTTTTTGGGTTACCTTTTTCTAGTCCAAACCCGCCCTGCAGTGGGGCTTAGTTGGGTCGAACCCGCGGGCCACAGCCCATATTGACATCTCTACTCGAAGCTGTCGTTGTCGTCGATGAATTCTCATTGTAGTCGGCGGTGAAGTTCGAAGCTCGTGTATTGTCGCCGGAGATGAATTTTAAAACTCTCTTCCTCATCAACTGTGAAGAATATCAAAACTTTCCGCCTCTTGCGAATTCAAAAAACTCGAGTATTATAAAAAAAAACCAGAACTCTTTCGTACTTAAGAAGAACAATTTCGTCACTCTCAAACGAGAAATGTTATGTGGAAGAATTTTTTGGTGTATAATGTATACGTGAAACATAAAGTTAGAATATGTGTATAAGAGATCATTTTTCTGTATTTATCTAAGAGTTTTAAAAAATTATTATTGTATTATTTTATAAAAATTTACTGTATTTTATTTTATTAAATATTAATTTATAAAAATTTACTGTATTTTATTTTTTCAGCAGTCAATATTATAAAATTACAAAATCTATTGTACACAATGTTTTACATTGACGGGCTTAATTAATTATTAATGGGCTCTGGGCTTTTTATTATAGTGTGACCAAACCCGCAAACTCTAAAACGCACCGTTTTTAGGGTTTTGATTGCTAGCTACTTAAAGTGCCGCGTTTTGATTAATTGTGTTACTTTTCTTCTTCCTTCGCACCATCTCTCTCTATTCGCCATTGCTTTCTTTTCGCGTGAGCACGAACCAAAATCAAACTCCGTTCCATTGAAAAACCGAAGCTTTAGCTTTCACCTGCGTTTGATCTGATCAATTCTGGTATTATCTGTTTTGTCTTCGAAATCGAATTTAGGGTTTTTGTTGTGTAGTTCCGGTTTGCCGTTTTTTTGTTTGATATAGGTTTCTCTGCAATGCATAAACGGAGAATTGAATATGACAGATTCATTCCCTACAGATCCGCCATGGATTTCGGGAAAATTACGGAGGGAAGAAAGGCTGAAGAAGAAGAAGAAGTATCGCCATCGAGAGAAGCCTACAATACGCGATTGTTAGAGGCTTTGGGTCTCAATCGCACTCGGATTCTTGCCTTCAGTAGCAAACCTTCTTCTCTTTATCAGCCTATCAAACACTTGGCGCCTCGCAGACGAATTTCTCAGAACCCAGAGAGAGTATTGGATGCTTGGAATATTGTAGAAGACTTTGGGCTCAACCTGCTTGATTGGGGCAGTGCCAATGTCTTAGCCATAGCGTTGGGAGACACTGTTTGTCTCTGGGATGCTTCCACTGGCTCTGTATCTGAGCTTGAGGCCGCTGACGAAGAGAACGGACCCGTCACTAGCGTGAACTGGGCGCCTGATGGTCGTTACCTCGTGGTGGGGCTCAATGACGGCGAGGTGCAGCTTTGGGATTCTGTAGCCGAAGTTGTACTGAGAACGTTTCAAGGTTGCCGCCACGGGAGAGTAGGATCATTGGCGTGGAACAATCACATCCTGACCACGGGAGGATTCGACGGACGGATCACCAACAACGATATGCGGATGGGCTCAAACGTTGTGGAAACTTACAAGGGTCACACTCAAGAGGTGTGTGGTCTCAAGTGGTCTGGTCAGAGACTAGCTAGTGGTGGCAACGACAGTTTGGTACACATATGGGATCAGTCCAGGAATACAAATTGGCTGCACAGGCTCAGGGGACACACATCCGCGGTTAAAGCTCTCGCATGGTGTCCTTTCCAGAGCAGTTTGCTTGCAACTGGCGGTGATCAGACGATAAAGTTCTGGAACACTAAGACAGGGGCTTGCTTGAATTCAGTAGACACGGGTTCTCAAGTTTGTTCTTTGCTGTGGAGCAGCAAGGAAAGTGAGCTACTTAGCTCACATGGGTTTCCTCACAACCAGCTTACGCTCTGGAAGTACCCATCGATGCTCAAAATGGCTGAGTTCACTGCTCATACATCAAGAGTTCTGTATATGGCTCAGAGTCCCGATGGTTGTACCGTAGCTTCAGCGGCAGGAGATGAGTCTCTCAAGTTCTGGAATGTTTTTGGAGAGAAACCTGCTCCCAAGAAAGGCCATGAGCCGTTCTCTCGTGTTTCTCGTATTCGTTGAAACTGTGAAGTTTGTTTCAACTCTAATTTCTGCGTTTTTCTGCTATTCTCTGTTTGTCTTTGCTGCGTTTTTCTGCTATTCTCTGTTTGTCTTTTGCTTAACTGTTCAACAGGGTATTCACAGGTATCTACATTCACCGTACCAAATTCACAACAAGCTACAGGTTTGTCTTTGCTGCTAGGTTTAGGTGTTTGGGTCTGAAATGTTGATTCGTGTCTGTCCTTTTGCTTTAGCAGTTGTTCTTTTTGGCTTTATTTCTCTGATTTCCTCGAATTTCAGTTCTTGTGCTAATCTCGGTTTCCCTTTACATCTAGGTTAGATGTTGATTTGCTTGGGTCTGTGTTTCACTTTAACAGTTGGTCTTGAAAGAGCTTCTGATGAGGAAGATGAACTGGGAGTTGATTGCCGAGGACAATTATAGGGCTCTCGCTGATGCTATCTTCGATGCCCAAGAGATTCAGGTATCTCTACTTGTCTCCTTAACTCACTGAAATTTTGATTTCTGTAGTTTATATCATCATGCTTTCCTCTTAAATAGTTTCTTTTGCTTTGTCATCATCATGCATTCGCTTAATTGTTGATCAAATGTTTTCAGGCTGCAGAAGCGGACAGAAGGAAGAAGAAGGCATGTGAGGTATGTCAACGGAATACCTTTTGTTCTTACATTTATTGAGTTTCTGTCATGTTTAACCTCCTTTGAAGAGGCTGCGACGCAGAGGTGAAGGAGGCTCTGCTTCGACTCTGAACAGTCCCGACACAGTTTTGAAGAGCCTACAACTGGTCATGGCGGAGACACTGCTCCTGATGCTGGTGCGCTCATTGTTCCAAAAGACGAGCTTTTTGCAGATGTTCGTTTCAGGTCTCTACTCATCAAGGTACGGTCTTGATCTTTCGTGAATTGCTTAGTCTGATATGTGTCTTGCATGTTGTCTCTTGGTGTTTTCTCTCGATGTCTTTGTCTAGATTCAGTAGAAAATGGGAACTCTTTAGCTACTATATCTGAGATGGAGAAGACAAATGGACATGTGGAAGTTGTGAATACTGTTGATGATGCCAGTTCTAATGACGTTCCTCCTGCAGTTATCGTTACATAGCCCAAAGCCTTGATGCTGCAGTAAAGTTTTCTCTTGGGAATATCAGCGATGACCAGCGCTGCTCCTCTTGCTGTGGAGATTGCTTGGCTCCGTCAGTGTCACTTAGCGGCTTTGCGTACACAGTAGATGGCATCCTGCAGAAAGAATGTTGGAGGAGATGTGGCAACCGAGTTATTCAACAGAATATTCACAACAAGCTGCAGTATTTGCGGAGACAGTAAAGAGAAATATTTGAGATATGAGCAGTATAACGCATTGGAACCTTTTTTTTGTCGTTACTCATTAGATCTCACTGAATAATAATGTTTTCCTCTTAGTTTTTTGTAATTTGGAGAAAGACAGGGTTCTCTGAAATCAAACCAATTTGCATCTTAGATTTAATAAAGATTCTGCTAGTTGTCAAGTGAAAAAATCTCCATCTTTGTTTATTAGGGTTTTATCAGTTCTTGACTTGAGCTTTGGTCTTCTCTTTAGATTTCTTGGTGAGATTTCCATTTCTGTAGAACCTGTTCAGTTTTTTGTCTTGTGTTGTTGTTTCTTGCCAAATAATCTTAGTCACATCCGTTATGTAATGATTTTTGTAGGTGTCTTTTTCGTTTTTCTTTTCCTCCTGAGATTAAATTGGCAACTTTGTGTTTTGTTCTGCCATTTCTTTTTTTGGCTTTTCTTTGGAATAATTCTTTGGTAAGCTGCACCTTTTAACCTAATGTAAAAACTCTTGATTAGCCAGTAATTTATTGCTCTTTAGTTATTAGTTTTGATGAAACCAAAGGCTTTGGAGTTTCTTTGTTAACCTTTTTCAGACGTATGCTCAAAGCTATGCAGCTTCAAATGCAGTTGCAGTCACAGCACCGGCTTCTCAAGCATACTATGGACTATGGTTCTTATTACGGCTAACTCCATCATGACCTGACGGCTACATTAGTTTCTCTTGTCTCTGAGATCTAATGTTTTCTTGTTACTCTTCTGTATTGGTGAGGCATTAGTTTGGTCAAAAGTGTAATAGATTATATTTTTAATGGTGTTAGTGTTTAAAGAAGACGTTAATGGATTCGTTTTGGTTTAGGGTTTAGAGTTTAGGATTTAAAGAAAGTTAGAAATTGAACGGTTCTAGTGATAAGCAGTTTGGGTTCCAAACTATTTCACTCATAAATTTTCTCCACTCAGTTTCTATGTACATTTTCTTTGTTAATTTCTTCAAGATTTAGGATTGTACAATTGACACAAAAATTTCGCATAGTTCTGAGACTTTTTGGGAGATTATTCCTAAAATTTTGGATAGGTTAATTTCATTGTTCGCCATAAAACCACCAAACAATATGTTTTTACTTTGCTGAAAGACTGAGGCTTATGTTTTTGCATAAACATCATCTTGGTAAACCTTGAAAAGGCAACATAGTTGGCCTTTCTCATCAACAACTTCAAACAAATTATCAAACTTGAAATTTTGTTGCAGAATTGGCTGCTTCTTTCATATAAGATTGGAGTATATCACGAAAGCTCTTTTAAATCTTACAAAATTGTGAGAAGATTTCTTCAAATCCTAACTATGACGCTGATGGCAAACGTCTCCTATGATTCCAAATCTAACAAAAACAAAGAACAATAAAAAATTACCCAAATACATATATAAATGGAAGAAGCTCTTTTTTTTGGTCAAACAAAATCAATTTCCATTAAAAACTTAAATCGGGTTATCCCAAGAGTTTAAGGCACTCTTGGCTAGAGTATCAGCCATCGAATTAGCTTCTCGAGAGACAAAAACAAAGGAAATTGCAGAGAAGAGGGTCGAGAGAGAAATGATATCGCTGATGATACCGTGGAGCTCCATCTACGGAGTCTCCGAATTGATGGCCTTTATCACTTTCTGTGAATCTGAGACTAGACGAATTTTGGTGATCCCCAGGTTATGGGCTTGTTGGATAGCAAGAAGAATCGCCGTTGCTTCCGCCATGAGGGGTGATCGGATATTGCATGCAGTCGAGGAGGATTTGCGGAGCCATGGTCTTCGATTTGTCTTGATGATCCAACCAAACCCCGCTGTTTTTGTGGATTCTCTCCACGCTGCGTCAGTGTTGATTCTCGCCGTGTCAAAGTCAATTTGATGGGGAGCTGGTGGGGGGTTAACTGGATGGGCTTTTGCCGCTCTCGATTGTGCATCCTGCCATTCCCATGCTGAAGAGATTGCTCGCTAGATACACTTGGGGGGAGTAGTTGATGTGGATTCGAACTTCAGCCTGTTCCTTGATAACCAGAGATACCAGATAATCCACGGGCCAAAAGGGGTAGCTGTGAGGCCCAGGGGAGGGAGATTGATATTGCTATTCAGCTCTTCAAGGCCTTGTCGGAAGGTAGTGAGTAAGGATGTCCGTGGCGGGGTTCTGAGAGGAGCAAGATCCCATACCTCTTTTGCGAACGGACAGCGGAAGAAAGCGTGTAAGTCTGTTTCTTCTTCCTTACATATAGGGCAGTAACTTTGGGTGTCGATATGTCTGTCCCGTAAGTTTGCTCCTAGTGGTATCGCCTTGTGCATAGTTTTCCAGATAAAGAGTTTGATCTTAGGGGCGCACTTGATATCCCAAATTGCAGATTTCCACATAAAATCCAAAGTAGTTGGTAGATTGTCATCCCACGATTGATCTTTAGAGGCTTCGTAATAGCCTGATTTTGTAGAGTAGATGCCAGTTTCGGAGGCTAGCCATACATACTTGTCTTTCGCTCTCCTTTTACTCGGTTTGATCTCTTTGATTTGTTCCAAATAGTTTGGTAGGATCTCTTGGATTAACTCCATATTCCACTCCTTTGTTTCAGGGGACATTAGCTCCGCAACTGTGAGATGTTGAAGCTGCTCAGTAGGAGGTCCCATCGGGGCTACAGGGGAGTTTAAGGATATTCATGGGTCACACCAGACATTCGTTGAGGTTCCATTCCCTATGACCTTTCCCAGACGGAGTTTTAAGAGGTCTCTGCCGGCACAGATGCTTCGCCAGCCATGAGATGTTGAGGAGGGCACTTTACCTTCTAAGAAAGTAGAATGTTGGTAGTACTTGCCCTTGAGGATGCGTGCTAGTAGACTGGTTGGGTTTTCTAAGATGCGCCAGCTGATCTTTGCTAATAGGGTGTCATTGAAGATTTGTATGTCTCGGAGACCCAAGCCTCCATCTCTCTTTGATCTGGTAAGTTTCTTCCACGAGATCCATGCCATTTTTGTTTCACCTTTATTAGTGTCCCACCAGAACCTCGTTAGAGCTGATTGAATTCGTTTGCAAAGTGATGCAGGAAGCTTGAAGCATGTCATAGTATAGGTTGGGAGTGAGGATAGAACCGACTTGAGAAGTGTTAGTTTCCCTGTAGTGGAGAGGAAACGCGAGGACCATGATGCTGCCTTCTGTTTTTATTCTGTCGACAATGTTGCTGAAAAGGTCTTTCTTTCTTTGACCAAAATTCTCTGGCAAACCAAGGTATTTTCCCAACCCACCTTCCTTTGTGATTCCTAGCTCTCGTTTGATTCTTTCTTTTGAGTTTTGAGGCGTCTTTGAGGAGAAGTTGATTGCTGATTTTTGCTTGTTGATCAACTGTCCCGAGGCTTCTTCATAGCGGTGGATGATGGTCATCAGCTCCTTGCAGCTCTCTGAGTCCGAGCTGCAGAAAAACATTGTATCATCTGCGAACAGCAAGTGGTTGATCCGTGGACTTTCTTTAGCCACCCGAATGCCTGGAAGTCTTCCATCTTCCTGAGCCTTTAGGCATAAGCCCGAGAGGACTTCACTGCACAGGATGAAGATAAAGGGTGAGAGGGGGTCCCCTTGCCTTATACCGCGTTGAGGGTTAACCCTTCCTTGAGCTGAGTCATTTAGCAGGTACGTATATGAGACTGTGGTGATGCATTGCATAATCCATTGTATCCATTTCCAGTGAAAACCTAGCCTTTGTAGTATTGCTTCAATGAAATCCCACTCGAGTCTGTCATAAGCTTTTGACATATCTGTCTTAACAGCCATGTAACATCGTTTCTTGGCTTTTGATGTTTTCAGGTAATGGAGTACCTCATGGGTGATTAGGACGTTGTCTGCAATAGCTCTCTGTTTGACAAAGGCGGATTGGTTTTCAGCTACAATGTGGGGAAGAAGCGGTGTTAGTCGGCTGGTGATCACTTTGGAGATGATTTTGTAATATACACTGCAGAGAGCAATAGGTCTGTAGTCTTAAACTTTCTTTGGTGCATGAATCTTTGGGATCAATCTAACACAGGTTTTGTTTATATTGTGAGGGATGGTACCCGTGGAGAAGAATAGTTGAAGTTCCTTAATCACATGGGGTCCTACTGTATCCCAGTGGGACTGGAAGAAACAAGCTGAGAATCCACCAGGTCCTGGGGCTTTGTCTCCATGGATTGCAAAACAGGCCTTCTTTATTTCCTCTGCTTGGCGAGATAGCCAGTGGCGGACGCATGTGAGGGTAGGGTGTGGCCTGTGCCGCATACTAATTTTTATTTTTCCTCAAGTAATTAGTATAAAATTGATTTAGTGCCCTTAATTTAAATTTTGTTTACACTATATACCTCACACTAAATTAATTTCCAGATCCGCCCCTGGAGATAGCTAGAATGTTCTACATAAGTGGTTTATCATTTAACATTGCAAGAAATCCGCATTCCCATAATTCATATGTATGAGCTTCAAATATTCCAGGATATGTCCCCCTAGGACATAATGCATTGAAGACATGACTTCTTAAAAAGAAAGGAAGAACATTGAAATGCACTTGCAGCCTTTGAAAAACTCATGGAAACATAAGGAGTCAGTATATGTAGTGATGATTGGTCGGATCCACAACGAAGACCGATATTCAACTTGATTGCTGCAAATGAGAGTGGTCCCATGATACTAAAGGCAATTAATACCCACGGTGAAGTTAGAACTGGGGAGATGATTGCAGACATGCTCATAGAATGCATAAATGAGGTTGGGCATGAAAATGTGGTTCAGATTGTCACCGACAATGCTTCCAATTGTGTAAAAGTTGGTGCACTTATTTCAGCTAAGTATCCTACCATCTTCTGGACACTATGTGTGGTTTATACTCTAAACCTTGCTTTGGAGAATAGATGTGCACCAAATTTCAGT